ATGAAAAAAGTCATAAAATAGGCCATTTATTGAAGGTGCGCCTTATAGTGCGGAAAATACGGTACAAGTCTGCGCGTGTCCTTACTATTTGGTCAAATTGTTTTAAATTGCATAACTTGGCTCAAACATCGAGCTTCTAACAACTAATTGCTTAAGTTTTGATCCATATCTCCTGAGAGAACTAAGCAGCACAGGTTTTTTTCAGATCCGCCAATATCAAAATCAAATTATTTTGTTAATGTACAACATTGACTTTGTTGCTCTTAGGCTATTTTTAAACCCTAATCTAACTTGACTGCATTTTCAGGCTGCCTCACGTTGATGACAAGTGGTGTTTTAACATCATGTGGTTGTTGCATCCCTGCTAAACACGCAGTATTTACTCACTGTCAGTTATTTTGCTGGTAACTTTGCGGTTTGGACGTGTTGAATGGATAAGTTCTGAAATAAAAATGCTATCTTTGAAGCACCCCCCGCTGCTTTGTGTTCATATGTGTGTGTGAGCGGCCGGCGTTCAAAGTGCCTGGCAATCACACACAGCAGCAGACTATGATGGGTCTGTGGGATCTTTCAAAAGCAGCTTAATGGCTAATCCTGTCTTCCAGCGCACACACACAAACACAGAAGGCCGTTTCAAATGGAAACATAGCCTGCTCCATGGTAGAATGTCAATACTATAATCTGATTGGTCTGGTTGATGGATAGGTGGTTTGGTTGACCTATCACAGTTAACTCAATTATTGCTCCCACATACTCACCTTTTGGTTGTTCTGTCTGCCTTCTTCTTCCTCTCTGTCTCTTTTAGTCTGCCTCTATTCCTCGTACCTGATTCTCTCTCCGTCCTCCAGTCTCTCATCTTTTATCTCTCATTCCATCCCTGTCACTAACCAAATTAGTAGTGCCCCTTATGGATTTTTTTCCCTTTATGGGTCTGTATGAGTGGAATGAAAGGAGGAAGGGAAGGTGTGTGTGTTTCTGTGTGGCAGGCTAAGCTGCTCCTACCAGATGTTTTTCTTTGTTTTATTCTTCTGAGCGCCACGCTGTCTGCCTGTCACCAGCAGATACACGGCCTGGGTGTGTGTGTGTGTTTAAGGAAGAGGGAGTGTTACCGAGAGCCTTTGTCAGATGTGCGAGTGTGTGGATTTGAGAAATTAATTACTTCCACATCAGCACCGTGTGTGGTGAAGGGTCATCAGAACAGATGATGGATATTTAAAAAAAAGGAAAAAAATCAATTACGATACATTTTGAAGCTGATACGAGAATATCACAAATAAAGATAAAGAAGCCCAGTGATTAAAGGAAAAACTTTAAATTGGCAGTGAGAATAAAATCAACAGTGCATTGTTGTTTCGATTTCTAAAAAGTGCAAAAGAATTGGGTGGAAACCTACTGTATGTTTCTGTGCTTTAGTTACTGTTCTTTATATTGCCCAAATATCAGGAAACATATCTAGGTTCCAGATTATTGAGGAAATACAAAAATAACAGCAGGAAATGTGAACCGGAGAATTCTTTCAACATTAATTCGTTCACTTTTGGCGTGCCGTTTTCGCAACCTCAATTTGTAGTGAACGCAGGGCCACTTCTTGATACAGACCTGGCAACTGGTGTGATGGAGTCATCCTCCACGCTCCGACACATTTGTTTGTTTTCTCTGGAACTGCTTTAGATTCTGATCAGCCCCAACAACCAATCTCAGGGTAAGTTGTGCAAACAAACGTCGACTGTACGTCGAGGCTGCTGATTTATTTGTTGACATTGATCGGTGATGCTAGAGTAATTGTCATCATAATTAATTCAGCAACCAGGCAGACTTTATTTGTCCATTACTTAGGAGTTTTTTTTCCCACTTGGGAGAATAACCTCTCATAATGTGTACAGTACATTAGTGTAGTTTTCCCATGGACAGACGGATGGATGGATGGACGTATGGATGGATGGATGGATCTCCCTTACACCATAGGATTGGAAATGAGTAGATAAGTCTGGAAAGGTACTTGTTGAAGTTGACTAATCTTGCCTGACAATATTCTTTGTTTGTTTATCTTACTGTTATACAAGAATTCTTCAGCATTGTAGTACAGCTACCTACCAGAGGAACTTAGACAGGCAGTCATGTTACAGTCTCATGAGCACCAATTATTATAAATAATTTGTTTTCCCAGCCTGTGCACCTTAAGCAGATAATTCCTTAAGATAAAAAAATGTAAATGTATTTTTAATTGTTGTTGCAGAGAATGAAAATTTAATAAGGTTTTTTTTTTTTTCCATAATTCTACCAATGAATGCTTCAAGAGTTGCATTTATTGGTAGAATGAAATGCTGTGGAAAAAAATCACCCGTATAAAAACATGTATATTTACTGTTCAAACATTAAATTTTTAACACACAAAAAAAAACTTCCCACCCCACAGAAAGAAGCAGTTAGCATTTGGGCTACTATTAATCTCATTTGATGCATTTGTGGTGAAAAATAAAAAAAATCTATAATTTATTAGGTTTGTGCTGCTGAAATTGCTTGAACACCCTACCTAAGCTGTGTATTCATATAACTGTTTTGATACGACACCTAAATTTCAGCTGCTTTGATTTCTATTTCTGTATTTTGCCAACTTGGACAGCTTGGAAAGCTATTATTGCATATTTAGACACGTAGACAGAGGCTGCGTCCCTTCAGGTCCAGGTCTGGCTGATTTTTCCCAGGGGAACAGGCTGAGGCCTTGAGGGACCTGGCTGGCCCTCTGTTCCAAACCTCTGGCCCTGTGTGCATGTGTGTCCCTGGGAAAAGAGTGGGATCGCGAGAGGGATCAGGGGCTGAGACGAATGAGTGGATTGACAGATGTAGCTAAATATGTTTGATTAACCGACGTAGCTGAATATAGAAGATTCATGTTTTGCACGTCTTGGTCGAGCTCAAAACGAGCGGCTATAAAAGAGATCTGACAGATAATTAGGTGGATGATGAATTGTTTACAGCTTATCCAAATAATCAAAAAGTCGTATGATCTTGCGCTCAGAAAGCCATATCGGGACATTTCTCAGGACCTCAGGCAGGAGGTCGTCACTGTGACAACAATCTCCGAGGAACGCTGTGGTAGAAACAGAGCTTCTGAATGTCTGCGCGTGTGTGAGTTAGAGTGTGTGTGTGTGTGTGTGCGTGTGTGTGTGTGTGTGTGTTTGTGCATCAAACAGTGGCCATGAGGGACCGGAAGATGGCTGCCCTGATTAAACAATCAAAACGTTTTGATTGTGTACATGGCCAAAAGTTAGACAAATACATGCTAACACAAAAAAATAATGAAGCACACACACACATACTGTAGACAAACTAGAGGCTTGATACGCAGCAAGTGAACATCTTGTGCAGGCTGCTAAACTCAGAGCAGAGGCAGATAAAGGGGTCAGCACTGCTGGTTCTCCCAAGTTTCGAAAAATCTCTTGGAAATAAAAAGATGTTACGACTGTAAACGACCACGCATATAACCGGACAGTTAGCGCACCTTACTCATGGAATTCTTTTAAATGTCAAAGTTCACTCACTGTTCTCTCATGTTGTACCATCTGTCTCCTGCAATATGTTGCTGCTCTGATAAATGAGTGGATCTCGCCTTTTCTGTGTGTCCGCAGGAGCGTGTGGAGTACCTGTTCCTTATCATTTTTACTGTGGAGGCGTTCCTCAAGGTAATAGCTTACGGCCTGCTCTTCCACCCCAACGCCTACCTGAGGAACGGCTGGAATCTGCTCGACTTCATCATTGTAGTAGTAGGGTAAGTGAAGACAAGCGGTGCGAGAGATGACGGCTTAAAATGTGCTGGGAGTGTTCTGGGTTACTCTGACCTGCAAACGTCAGTATGAATCCAGCCGTTCTGTGAAGGCCTCGGTGTCATGAAACAAAAACGGAAGGAAAGTACGAAAAGTGGAAAGGGTATAAATATAATGTAGCCACATAATGCTAGAGATGGCTTTTTGTTTGGTAAAGCAAGCTTCATTTTGTTCATTGCGAATGCAGATGAAAGCCCCAGTAAACTCGGGCCTGCAGTGTACTGGTGTAGCTTAAACTGATTAGCTTGTGAGTTGCTGATAGCAAAGCCCTGCTCTGTTTTTTTCTTTTATCTGAAACTCAGCAACACAGGCTATCTGCTAAACCCTCTTCGCTTGTTTTTTTTTTTCTTTTTCTTTTTCTGTGTGCGCGCGCGTCTGTGTGTGCGCGACTTCACGCCGGCTGAGCCGTGTGTACAGTGTAGTCTCTGCATTACTGCCAGTGGACCTGACAGATACATTAAAGCCATAAAAATGGTCTAATTGAGCGTATGTGTGTGAGCGTGTGTGTGCTTCCGAGAGGGAGAGAGAGAGAGAGGCGGTGAGGAAGCGGCCTGCGGCCTGAGGGGAGGCTTCTCCGGCACAGATACAAACGCTCTAAACCAGTCTTCTTCATTGCCAGTCAAGTGTTCACTCACATTAGACATCACTAACTAAACGCATTTGGCTCCAGCTCATAAAAACACACACATACCAACAACATGGTACCATTGCCCCCGGCATAAACACAACCTTTCCCACTCCAGCTATCTACTCTCCTCGTCTGCCCCTCTCTGTTCTGTCTCCTTTTGCTATATTTAGGATTTTACTGTGATGCAGCATTTTTTTTTTTTTTTTTTTTTGGCAGTCGCATGTTAAGTGCTTCAGTAAACAGGGAAACATGGAGTTCAGAGGTTTACAATTTGTCTTATTCAGGGACACTTTAGGAGATATTTTTTACTGTTTTGGGTAATTTAAACCACGGCTTCCCCAGTGAACTAACATCTCACTGAGGTTATTTCAGCCAAACATGATCTAATCGGCGAAAGGGTGTTCCAACTTTTTTTTTTTTTTTTTTTAGTACGTATTTTGTTTAAAGCAGGAAACCAAATTGTTTTATAATTGAATCGCTTTATTTTCCAGAAATGGAAAAAAAAAAAAAAAAAA